AATATCAAATATAATAACAGCATTAATTGCAATTTAAAAAAATGAATGATATTAAAAAAGGCTTGAATCACTAAATTTCAAATATGTTTTTACAACTGTGTAGAATGAAGTAAAGAGATAACAATTAAGATTATTACGTTGTAAATGAATACAACAGCAGCAGATTATTAAAAAAAAGGAGGAATTCATAAATATGAGTACATAAATTGGAAAAGGGTATGCGGTTCAAGCATTTTCCACTATTATTAACGTTGCATAATTGCAGGACAGGGAGAGAGAAAGATATTAGCAATGATTTACAACGCGTGTGGGCAATAATAATAATAGCATAAACATGCCAAATAAGGCATTGCAAGAAACGCATTCCTGCACTTCCACCACCTTCTACTTGCTACATCCTCCTGATCTTCATCTACAGCAGCCGATGTTTTATGCAAAAAAGATGAAGAAGCAAACAATTTGCAATACGTCAAACTTTTATTACCGTATAGAATAGCTTTATGACATTATTACCATTCGAGAAAAAAAAAACGAAAAAAACAAGCAGCTAAAGTGCGATTCATCGTTACAACGAAACATAAAATATTTATGTATTGAATTTGTAAGTGCGAATATTAAAAAGAATAAATAGATACGTCATAATGTGTTTATTTATATTGTTGTTATTGCAGCACGGTAATGGGTGGTCGCATTATAGATTCAGAATAAAATTAAGCCGTGTTGTTGCTTAAGCCTGATTGTCCATGGAGTATGTGATATGTCATTATTGAACTGGGCAAAGCTTAAGGCTGTAATCGAATCGTGATTGATGTATCTGTAGCGATTCTGCATGATTAGAAATTTAAAACTGAAACGAAACAAAAAATTTAAAAAAAAAGATCATTAATCGGTATTTTATAAATATATCTTTTAATTTGAATGTAGTGCCCCGGGCGCGAGCTTCATTAATATTAATAAATTCGGAAACAATTTAAACGTATTGAGAAACGGCTATAAATAAATGTTGCAGGAACTTAATTGATTTTGTTTTAATTTATATATACTTAAAATAGTGGAAATAGTTGTTTCACGCGTTCATTAATTATTAATGCGTCTCATTCATTTGCAAGATGTTTATCGGAGCAAATAACGTAAGCTACGTATTTTTTTTCGAAACATCAAATTAATCAATAGTTGTGAATCGTTTAACTTACAGAAGCGATTCGTGATGAGGCAAGTATGAATTACGCACGGAGAATAACAAGAATTTTAAAAATAAGTTTAACAAGCTTTAACAGCTGAATTATGATTAACCATTTATTTTATATTATGTACATTAATCTAAAGTAAATATTAGAAAATATCAAAAATAAACAAATATTTTTGTATTAAGTTCGGTGGATCAACGAACCTAAAACTTTACTTCTTAGTGATTAGAAAAAATAAATATCGACAAATTTATTTAATTTACAATCTAAGATAATTCAGAAAATACAGTCTATTGTATAAATAGGCAAACTCAAACATAAATAGAAAAATATTAGTTCAATTTGTAAATTGTGAACTGAAGACCGACGCCACTTGGATATAAACACATTCCAGCAAATACTAAAGTGGTTAACTTAACATTAGTCTTGTATTGGTAAATACTTTTGAAGTATGTAACAAAATTCAGGGTTTCAGCAAGAATATAAGAAAAATATGGATACAAATTCTAACAAAAAAAAAATCATAGAAATGAAGAATACATTTTTACGTAATTACGTGCAACCACTAAACTCATGAATAACAGGATATCATAATATAAACTTGGTTGATGTTAGCATGCGCGTATTCTGCAAATTGCATAATGCAATAGTTAGAATTAATTTGTACTGCGCATTCATTCAATAAAAAGAAATAATAACTCATAAATATAATAACTTTGGTGCGGTGACGTCCGACTATATTACATGTTACCAAGTTGTCCATGGAAATTATAATTTCGAAATTATATGATGTCTAGCGACTGTTTCCCATTAAAAAACTAAGCATTATAATTATTTAAAAAAAAAATATCGCCTTGAATTATTCCCCATGCAATAAAAAAGTTAATTTTTGAAGCTACTTGCGAAAGTATTTAATGCCAACACTATTTCAAATTAGTAAACATCGCTATAGGAAACAGTCTCAGTTTCTTATTGATGAAACAAGAAATGGTCTCACGGGGTCCATAATAAATGCAATGGACGTGTAAAATTGATTGCATTCATAAAGAACGGTGTAAGTGTGTGTGAAAGTGCTATGGATGAAAAGATGAAACGTTCTTGAGCATCCAAAAGGCAAATTCGTATTTATCTGATATCTCCGATCATCAAGTAGCAATAATTCAACGACTTTATGATATCCACGAATATCTCTCTGCCTCGTCAAGCGCATACTTTAACAATTTGTCTTTCATAATAAGCTCCGAAGCAACTATAAAAGTATACAATCGTTACTTTCAAACGTTTGCTCCATGCTGAAACCAATTTATTCTTATTTATTAGGTCTACCGTTAATCTGACCATCTCTAGAGAGTTTCATTCTTGGCGCGGCTTGTTTCCTATTCTATCCTTCATTCATTCTCTTCTCCCGCCACAAGGATATCGCGATTACGCGCACGCAATTAGTTATATAATTTGTTTACGTTTGTAAGAACTAAAGTATTTTATTCATATAAAGCGTACAATCAATCAATGAAAACTGCATTCAAAATGATATACAAAACAGAAAATATGTAAATATGAATACTTCATCAAAAAGAGTTAATATTTGATTTATATTCCAATAATAAATTTTAATCTCAGTTGACTGCTTAATTGTAAAAAGTGCGCCCGAGGATTCTCAAGAGCACCCAAAACCCGGCCAACTCTACACAGTGTGTCCACAAAGCGAGAGGAGAGCCATTGGCATCCAAGGATTGACGTCAGTTGCATGTCAGTGCAGAATGACCCAGACAATTTATGTTTATTAAAAGGAAAAGGAAAAAAATACGAAAGAAAATTACAAAACAATGTATCGTCTGACGTAGCCGGAGCGCAACAAACAGAAAGAATGAAAAGAACGGAACAAGGGACGACAATGGCATTTCATTCTTCTCCAATTTGTGTTGCGTTATTTATTATAGCATTGGTAATGTATTACTACTCAGTCTTCAAAACTTTCGGAAATTGCATTCAAAATTTATAATTGAATATAAATGATATTGGAATACACCACATCCTCAAAAGTATGAGAAATTATGTTTTAAATTTATAATTGAACATAATTTCTTCATACAAATAACAATTAAACGGACGTCACGGCACTAAAGTGTTAGTACACAATAAATAATTGTTTATTACTAATATTAAACTGAAGCTAATGCTGCAAACGCATTTCATTTTTATGTTCATTGCACGATAACGTCAGAATCAAGTTTATTACGAATAAAATACAACAATAAAATTAGTTCCAATAATATAAATAAAGGAAATTTAGTTAATGTGTTTGCAAAATTACTCATAAATGTAATAATAAATAGAATACACGAGTTTTATAATTATAAAATTTAATTTAGTTAAACTGTAAAAGATAATCAAAATGCTAAACTTATTTATAATTCATTGAGAACTCTGGTAATATATTTCATGTCAGTGAACAACAATATTCGCCAATTAATTATATAATATAAATAGAATATAATAAACGATACTCGTGCTTATTCAAATTATGATTAATATGTGTCCGAAAATATAATTTTATAGTCAGAATACTTTATGTATATTTTATGCAAATGAATTAATTGAAATATTGAATCAAATTTATTTCGTGTTTTATTTTTTCATAAATAATGTAACAAAATAGGCCAATAACAATTTATATTTTTCGTTTCATAATTTTTGTTATTGTTTAGTGTAAATATGTAACAACTGAAAAGCATATTTCGTTTACTATTAGATGTAGACTTTAATCTTACTGATGTATAGAGTGGGTTGCCTATGTCACAACGTGCAATTATTTTGTTAAAATTCATCGATTTGAAACGCTCTTTTAATTGAACTTTTGAAAGAAAATTTTTGAAAAAAAATAATGCTATATAGTTAAAAGAATCCTGACCTTTTAATAATATTGAGTACTTCTATACCATAACACTTTCTACTTAAACCGTAATTAATACTTATCAGAATAAGATATGATAAATGAAAAGAAGTAAATATTATTCAATAAACATCAACTGTCGCCTTAAATATCAATTAATATTTACAAAATAAAAAAAAGTAAGCGAATTGAAGTGTCTCGTGGTATAAAATTCGGTTACAATAATCCGATTTTAATTAATGACAGGTATGTTTTAATGGTGAGCGTGAGAGAAAATATGATGAGCACTGACTTCCGAGAATCGGGCATAATTTCACGGCAAATTAAAGTATTACCCATCTGCGTACTGGGAACACGTTAAGGTCGCGTTTTTTTTTGGGACTTGAAGGCTGAATAACTCATGCAAATTGGAGCTTCGCTCGCAATCATTTTAATTATTAATTGGATCAATTAAT